CCAAAATTCTGACTGATCGTTCATTTCTCTGATAAGATAGTTTGGGAGAGAGAAAATCGATGTCTTGGGAAGTCCTGATACGCACATCACTAGTGATTTGTAAATACACCGAGTTCCTGCATAGATGTTATTTGTAAGAAGATTTGGAGCTTAATAAAAACCAAATAAGGTCATGATGCTAGAAATGCTTTACGACAAACAGTGAACAGAAAATCATGGAATTTCAGCTTCATTAGAGACAGGCATCAAAGTTAGGTTCTGCTTCAGATAAGAAGTAAAATAAAAAACAGAACATGTCTTTTTCTATTTATATTAGTTGCAATACAATTACTATTAATAATTGTAAAAACAGAACTGAGCTGTGTCTTTTCTGGTTAAAATACGTTTTAGAATTACAGAATTGCTCTTTCATTGACGTATTGCGTTACATCTCATCTCTTACTATTCTGCATGTAAAATTGTACAAAATGAATTATTTCATTGAATGTAACAAGTATGTATTGTAACTAGTTTTCATGGTCTTCCCCTTTTTTAATTTGTCTTGGAGTTCGGTATTTTAGTTGTATTTTTTTTTTGTAACTAGTATATAGGTTGACGATTAAAGTACTTCGTTCAATAGGATCAGTGCTTGACAATTTACTTTGTTAAATCATCAAAACCAAAGAAAACAATTCCGAAAACTACTTGTAAATCTTTGCCCTCGTGAATTCGGTGACATATGTATCAGTACATTTTACAACACTTGTATTAAATTATCGTCTTTTATGAGTAGCAATGTAAAGATGTTATAAAATTGTGTTTATTGATGATGTTACATTGATATGTGACATTATTCTGTCGCCATGACTGGGGAGAGATGAAGTTTCCAATATTTTCCTGATAGCTACCATTAGAAGAGTAGAGAGCCCCCGTAGAGACATCTGAACTGTGTTTGATGGTATGAGTGCCACTTTGGCGATGTTTGTAGATGATCGATTCACCGTATTAATGGTTATATTTGTTCTGAACAACCAGGAATCGATGCCTTATCAGAGAAAAGCTGGATATGGGCAGATCAAATACACCACCCAGCATGTCTTAATAACAAACATAGTATTAGATTTACTCACATTTCTAGATGTTTAAACTTAAAACTATGTGACGTCAAATGTAGATTTTCCAAAGCTTGTTTTGATATAAAAATGATTTGTGTCAGTTGAAACTTTTTTCACATTTACTTTTTTCAAAAAAATATTTTTAAAGGAAATTAAATACTCATTGAAATGTTAAAAACATTCATCTTATGAAATAACAATATGGATGATGGAACATATGTCAACAGTTCTGTTTTTGTCATGTGCTCACTTAACAACTTGTATTTTCTTAAGGGAAAAACAAAAACTTGTGACTTATGAAGATTTGAGCAGACGAATAAGGTAATGCGTTTATATTTGGTCATTTATAAACACTCACGGACTCATTTTCCTTTAGAAGACAAGTATAGAATATGAAAAAATGAAAGTAGCATAGAAAAAAAATGAAAGCAAAGGAAACAAATGGTTTAAACTCTTTGCTATAATAAGTACCAGCCAGTTAATGAAAACAAACTTAATAAACGCAATTTGACAATTGTTTTGTAACATATATATGATGCCAATGTTTAAAGAGTAGTTAGCTTAGGAAACAACAAAATCATAACCCTAAATAATTTAGTCTGACTCCCCAACGTCCGGTTGAAACTGTTATATTATTAATGTCCGGTTAAGAATGCTATTGTTTGTCACATTTTGTTACTTTTTTTTTATTTATAACTAAAAATACTTTCAACATTATTTGTCTATCAATTTTTTCTAATATTTGATTTGGTTTTGATGTTCGTGTATTTCATTGACCATCAAACAAGGACTTTTGTTACTCTGTCATCCTTTCTCACACACACGCACACACACACACACACTCCCGAGCTTCTAAATACATAATACCATACACAGACTTCTAAATATCTATTTCCTTAATTGTATTCATATCTCTTGTGTGGAATTCATTTTTCCGTCTTTTTATGCAGAAAACAAACATACTCGAATATGTTAATTCTAAATTAAAAAAAATAATAAGAAAATGGATGGTTAATATTTAAGTTATGCGTTCAGTTGTAGGTATGGTAACATCATCATATGCGGAAATGAACGGGTAGGGCGTGGGTGGACACATAGATAAATCGGCGTAACATTATATATAATATTAATATAGAAACTAAAGACATCTCTGTTATTCTGTTTCCTATTTCACCTTTTCCTGAGAATGGCAAAGTCGAAAAACATTTTCTCCAATGATTTTATTACTACTTTCCATTTAATACATGCTTAAGGACATTTTTTTATGACAATATTAAAAAAGGCGATACAGCTATTTTATTTTAAAAAAAAATAGATAAGAATTTTTGGAAACAGTTTATTATTGTTTAAAAAAGGGGAATTGGAAATATTGTCAAGGAAACATAAAATCGTAGATGAATTGATACAAATCACCACGACAGGTTGTCAACAGTGTTTGCTGAAGGTAAATCCCAACCTAATACCGGATAATTAAAGTCAGGAACCGTAGGTATGGTGTCGTCTGCTAAACCTCTCAGCAGACGATCAATATGTAAGAGTAGAACCATTATTCATGAAGCGTCACAAAGGAATCGGATTTGCATGCAAGAGAAACACGTATCACCTCCTGTGCTTACTACAAATACTTCATTCGATAAATGCGTAACTGACACCGAATATGGTGATTTAAAATACTTTGAAAATAATTTCACTGAATAGGCGGTTGATGGATAAACTTTTACAAGGTAAGAAAAAATATTTTGAAATAAGATCGATATTTTTGGATACGGAGATATTATCAGGTAACACAAAGAGAGACAGGTAAGAAAATTGGATTTCTATGGCAACCGAAGTGTCTAATCGTCCACTGGTCGTTGATCGAAGTTGTTGCTTGCATACCTTACATCACGTACGCAGGAACTATCTTAATTTGTCATTTGCACTTACAAAACCTTCTGATTTTTTGTCGATATCGTATTAAAATCAATAGAAAAAGGATGGTGATTGGAAATTACTTGGAGAAAATTAGGGAAGAAATCAAATAGAGACATTGTTTTGATTAAAAAAAATATGTATTACTTTTTACAATTACATTTTGTGGTTTTAATTGGGGAAAAAAAGAATTGACATTTTTGTAGGTTAACAGCTCGAATTTACAATTGCAGTTATCAATAAAATTGAATTTTTTGAGTAACACATCTGCTACTTAAAGACTTCACTCAGTGCTCGTGTTCAAATGAGTGAACGCGCAGTTGCGTGTGAAATTAAATTGAATGAAGCATACAAGCTTTTTGTAAGAAAAAATCTGAACATACGTTCAATTTTATTTCACTGTGAAAGCAAATGAAGCGTGTTTAATGACTGAAAGAAAGAAAAAAGAAAATATATACGTGTGTAAACACACGAATTCTGTCTTTCAAATTTTTATAATCCGAGCTTTCCAGATTTCAAATAAGGGTAAATTTGGTACCTGAATTGGTCAATGTAAGTTTTTGCGCAGAAACCGTTGATTTCTTCAAATTCTTTGACAATGAACGCACCATTTCAGATATATACCAGTCTTTTGTGATTTATTGCATTTGTGTCTTTTCCAGTCTGTTTTTTTTAAGAAACAGCAAATGAATAACACAAAAGATGTGCATAATTTGGTTAAAAAAATGAGGCCTTTGGGTGGAAATAAATCGCATTGAGTCGTACACTACGCATATATATGCGCAATTGCATTAAGATTGTTCGGATGTCGAAAATTGTATTGGCTCAAATGGCCAGTATAAATTTTTACCGCAAGTTGCAAAGCTAATATAAAAATGTAACTAGTTTGCATATACATATATTCAGAACTTTAAAGATTTTAAATCTTATGGTAATTTTTCTTGCATACATGGAGATTTTATCAAAATATTTGAAAATTTTAATTAAAAATGTGAGATAACTTAGATAATTTGAAGTTAAACACTTTTTTTCTGTTTAGCACAATAGAAATCGAGATTAGTGATAAAGTTTTCGTTTTCTTTTTTCTGAAAAATATTCATTGAAATCTACCTTTAGTTTGATTTCTAAAAACATACTCATATATTCCCCATACACAATCCCATTGCCCTTTTTAGTAACTTTAATCCAGTAGGTTTCTCTACTCACTTTAGCTTGTTTTGGGCATTGCACAGAATCGTGTTGTCCTGTACTGTTTCTGACGTTGCTATAGGACGGCATAATTTCATAAAGGCAAGTTAATCAATGACTTTGAGTTTGCTTTCACAAACTGTGAGCATTCTTTATTGTGGTATATTTTTTGATTATTTTGTGTTATTTTTTTGTTATCTATTATATACACCGTTATTTCAGAGAATAGTGCCTTTTCTGCATTACCTTTTATTGTGAGTTTTATTTTAAAAGTATGTTTTATAGTTAACTGATCGAGATTAAAAAGGGGGAAAGTTGAGATCTCTAAAGCTAGATGTAGTTTAAACTGTTTGTAGGGTAAACTCCCCCAGTGTGATTATAAATACACAGCAGTGCACCAGCAGTTTTTTTATAGAGTAAACTATATCAAGGGGGTTGTATGTTGTCTCATACAACCTCTGTGGCTACACAGCAGTGCACTAGCAGTTTTTATAGAGTAAACTATATCAAGGGGGTTGTATGTTGTCTCATACAACCTCCCCGACTATATAACCCATGTAACCTGTTTTACCCAGCGGGATTATAAAGACATGTGTACCAGTAGTGTTTATAGAGATCACTTTCATGTGATATGCAATGTATTACAGCAAAAATGGAATTGTGATGCGATAGTCAGATGCAGAAAGGTCATAAAAAGCAGAACGAAATCTATGCAACAATGTTGAGTTCTTTCTGCATTTGGCTTGAAGTCAGACATTTACTAGCTATAGAAGGTGCTAAGTTATTTTATTTTTTACATTTTTACAGATGCCCCATCTGAGAACGGAGACGCAGTAAATGGACCTGTAAATTTATCAACACCAAAGAGTACCAGGAGTACAGATAGTCCAATGGAAGAAGATAAAATATCAATTGCTAAATCACCGATCCCTAGAAATGACAGAAAACGACGAGCAAGCGATGACAGTAGTGCAGAGGTAAGTAAGGTAACAGACCAGTGAAATGCGATGGATTTGCAATTGTAGATTTAAGTAATTTTTTTTTTTTATCTTAATCATCCATTTATAGTAATAAGAGGATGCAATGAACAAAATTGATGTCACCATCTTGGATCGTATCCTGAGCAGTATTTGATTTTTACCATATCTACGATAGGGGTTGGTTAAATATACCAATGTAATCTTGATGATGCTTAACATCCACCCACTAACGTTTAAGTATAAATGCTTTTATGTCTTATGAAGCAAGAATTCGTGCAATCTAACGGGTGAATTAAACGGGTGTAAATAACACCCTCCCAAGTTCAACATGGAATCAAATTTTGCCCAAATTTCCAAATCTACAGAAGGGATCTTTAACGTGCTCCAACTATGACACTTTCCACAAACGTCAACAATTATGGTCTACACGCAGGACTTTGTATAATAACCATAACACCTTGGGACGGAACCTCCACTGTGTACGCGATTTGCTTCTCAATTGGTAGAGTAACTGGATGTTCCTATTGTGATCCAAGATGATGGAAAACATCCATACTACCTTATTTTAGTTTTTTTATAGAGATTTTACCTATTATTAATTCAGTTTTCCTTGTAAATTTAACACTGTCCTAGTTCAATAAAAAGAAAATAATACTAGTTCATTCAGTTTCAGTTTCATTGTGAGTTCTAGCAGTAAGTTAAACAATATAAAAAATATAATTTCAATTTTCCTTTATAGTGAATACCTGTAATTAATTTCGTAATAGACACAGATTTCTTTTTATAGTTAAGGCTTTAGATGCATGGCACTTGTATCTTTAACGTTCTTCATTTGTTTTAGCGAGCTAGTTTATTTATGAATGGAAAAAAATCCTCTTCTTTACTTAAATTATAATGTAAATATGATTTCAGAGTTCAACCAAGACTAGTGAGGTAGAAATGGGCGATGATCAAGACGGCAAAGATGATGACGATGACAATGACGACGATGATGACGAAAAAATTCCAGTTGGGAAAGAAATTGACCCCGAGAGACTGAAAGCTTTTAATGTAAGGAAAAGGGAATCTTTAAACGACATTGAAGAACTGACTTTGTAATGTGCTATTGTCCATTTGTAAAGTGTTTTGCTTTTCTGTGGGTTTTTCACAAATTGGAAACTTTGTTTATTGTATTTCTTGGAAATATATGCAGTATATTTTTGTATGTAGTTTTATTTTCTTAAAATTCGTTATATATACAGTAGTGAATACATTTCTTCTATTTCTTTCATACAAACGCCAATTATTCAGCCTTACTTCATAGATAAAGATATTTGTAATCATTGCTCTTAAATGCATGTTTTATATATGTCAAATGTAATATGCGGGGACTTCTGTTTGTGTACCTTGTTTGTTATTTGTTTTGTGTGTTTATGTTTATGAGGCGATGACAATGTCATTGTGTATCACCTCTAACTTTCACATTTTAGTTCTGTCTTTTTTTTTCTTTTTTAATTTGTTGAAGCAAATGAATTCAAAAGCATTTCTTTGTAATCCTATTATCTCATGAAAATAATATTGCTTAATTACAGATGTTTGTTCGATTATTTGTCGATGAAAACTTGGACAGAATAGTACCCATATCAAAACAACCTAAAGATAAAGTTCAAGCAATTCTAGAAGCATGCGATCGTCAGTTTCCGGAATTTCACGAGAGATCACGAAAGAGGATCAGAACTTACCTCAAGTCCTGTAGACGAATGAGAAGAACAAAAGAGCAAAATGGTTGGGAACCGGTACGTTTGTTACACTGAAAGGTTTTATGATTAATTAGGGGCATCCACCTTTAAAGAATTGAAGAAAAATAAATGAATAAAATGTCCATGTGACACAGATGATGCCCCACTTGCATTTAATGTTATAAAGGGGCATAACTCAAGAACGGTAAAAGTGACGCCACCCAAATTCGAACTTGATCTGTGTTTTGTGGTAATAAGTTTCACAACATTTTGTTGAGGCAAACTAAAGTTAGAGAACGGAAACCAAATTCGGGACGTACGTACGGACAGACGGATGGACGTTCATACGGACAAGGGTAACACTTAATGCCCCCTCCGGTGACGGCGGGGGCATAAAAATAAAAATACAAGCATACGTCTTTTCGCCTCACTAGACTTGATGCCAAATATCTGGATCTATACACCATTATAATTAAATCAGGGATTTGTATCTTTTAATAAAGTTGTCAAACCTGTAAATAAATTTAAATAAGTTTCGCTCTATTTAAGATTCGAGGATCTGGTAATTTTTAAATATAATACCAATTACATGACAGTTGAAATAATTTCGTTTAATAACTCGTCCCACCAAAATAGCGACAGTAAATATATAGTAGTTAAATAAAATATCTTCATATAGAATAAGATGACTTGAAACATAACCGTGAAATTATTTTTTTTTATTTCCATAAAATTAAACACCCGATATAGTTGTGTAAACTACAGTAGTGTGAAGTACAACTGTTCCAGAATATTAAACAATCTGTGATATCATGTTTAATTAGCACTTCCATGATAACATGAAAAAAATATAAATATCAATGCATTGGCGTAACTGTGAAAAGCTGATTTGTTTATTCTTACACCTTTTGCAGCAGCTTAGACCAACACCTCCCCACCTGACTTCAGCAGCAGCAGAAGGTCTTCTTAGTAGTGCATGTGAAAACGAGAGTAATAATGCCAAGAGAATGCGCATGGGACTTGAACCACTTCCGGTAAGAATTCGGAAATGTGTTGCATTTATTTTTTAAGGCACGAATATGATTTTCCTAAAGCTATCTTTATTTAATGTTTTGTGTGTTTATATTTATTATTATTATAAATCGTCTTTAAAATTCAAACGATTTTCCTAAAGCTATCATTATTTAATGTCTTGCCCGAGTTAAGTCATATTATCCTTCAAATTTGACAAAAAAAGATAAATATGTTTTATATAAATGCATGGAAATTATTTATTTTATAAAACATGTGTACATATACGTGTTTTTAAATGTTATCGAAATCTGTAGATGATAATTTACTGCTTTTGAATGAGTGTCTTCCCTTACTCCAATCAACGACAGCTTTCCCGAATGTATTGACCTTACACGACCCCTCTCGTTAGAAATTCTGCAATATCAATCACCCCTCAAGTGCGAAGGGAAAATCTATGATATGTTTTTTTTATTGCTTTTTTGTTCATTATACTTAATGGATAAAAAAACGTGCAAAGAAGACTTAAGTTAAGAATATGAGTATGCATTGGTTGAAAAATTTCTTAACATTATAATTTACCATAAAATGGTTTCATGTGACTTTAAATTAATTTTTTTAAAAGAAATTGTAGATTGCATTGCACTTTTACAGTCGTTTAGATAAATTTTATTACAGATTTTTCGAGTGTTTTTGGGTAATATTTTTGGAATACTTTTTTTTAAACTTGAAGGCATCGGTAATGAACGCAGCAAAGGAATCATCCACCACTAACCAAAGTCAGTCACAAACATCTACACCACTATCAACGCCTTCATCACAGAAGCAGACGACACCACCACCACCACCAGCACCACCTGCTGTCCAGGTCGCTCACAGTCGGTCTTCACCAGCACCACAGCCCTCAGCAACTCCTCAGGCTGAAAGGCATTCACAGAGTAACAGTGATTTCCTACGACACCAGCCTCCGCCACCCGCCTTTAGGCCTCCTCCAGAGTTTCATTCGCCATTTTTCCCGAACGGAAACGGACTTTTCCGTCCCGGTTTTCCGCCAACCTATCAGCATCCAGCCCATCATCATCCAACAGTGTTGTCACATAGTTCTATTACACAGAACTCTGTACAAAATGGTAGGTGATGATAAGATGATTGTTTCAATACTTCTTTAAAACGGGTATGAAGTTATATGTAACGGATATAACACAAAACATAATATAAAGGCACAGTTATATATGAGATAAACGAGGTCAAATGAGTATTCACATTTCTTAATGAAAATGACTTCATAGTTTTGTATATAATGAATACGTGTACAATATTACTCACTGAACAATCGAAAGCAAAGAGGCCTTTTGAAAGCGTGATATGGATGCATGCACGAACTAAAATCGGGTTCCCTAGTCGATGCATTATGGTGTAATGATTCACAAAAGAGGTCATGGATAAAGCAAATGATTAATGTAACTGAGAGTTTGATCTAAATATATTTGTCGACGTGAATTGGGCTTAAAAACGAAAATCATAAAGCAAATACCATTTTGAAAAACGAAAAACATAAAAAAATCATTACTGTATGCAGTCTGTAGAAATCAATAGGCGCACATACTGTATACAACAGTTTGTACCTATTATATTTTGGTAGGAAGACCATTCTGTCGTGGATTAAATTAAGGTTAACAATACTTCTGCATATATATCTTAAATAGTCTTCTAAGAAGTTCTAAACATAAAATTGAGTTTTTATTATCTATGGAATAGGCATTACATGATGGATTCTCCTGAATTTGAGGTTTACATAAACATGATTGGAATATCTTTAGTAAGTTCAATTTGTTTGTTTACTTATTCAGGACCAACCGATTTAAGCTTGAAGAAAAACTCCGCAAAGAACCAGCTAAGTTCTACTGAGATAACAACTATTAAGCAGCTCATTGCAGGATATCGTGAATCTGCCGCCTTTCTTTATCGATCAGCAGACGAACTTGAACAATTACTTCTGCAGCAAAACTGACAGTAGATTATGTACAACTAAACTTGTGAAATTCATTTAAATATAATGTAATTACTTGATTATTTATAGCATGAATTTTGTTTAAAACTACTATTTACTATATGATAGTCAACCATGTGCAGGATGTTTTTTTTATTAACTTGGTGAAAGGCCCCAATATGTAGAACTTGTCACAATTTTTCGAATCATGTTTTGAACTTATTCATGTCATAAACGTGGGTCATATATAATAGATTGTTGTTTTGTATGAGTCAGAGTTATCTCGATGTTCTATTTTGTCTAAGATAGAGAGAATCCTTTATTGTCTCTAACTAAATTTAAATATATGAATGGGATGTCCTGAAAATATTGTTGTAATATGATTAAATTTTTATTGGATATTTGTTTTCAAAGAAAATTCATACCTGCATATTTTCAAGGTTCATGCTTTGTCACTATAAATATTTTAGTTCATGACAATCCATTTTTTTTTAAACTTCAAACATGTAATTGTGTTTTATATAACTATACCGGGATAAATTATTACAGATTATTTTTTGGGCTGATTTTCATAACATATATGGTGCATATTTCATGCTCTAGCTCATTGTTCTGTGATCTTGCAGGGATATTGAATAACTAGTCAAATTTTACATTTATATATTAACATGTGTATAGTTGTGGGCTTACTTGTCTGTGTTTCCATTGATATTATATTTTACAATTACAGAGCTATTTTTGTATTTTTAATGTTTGATATTTGTATGAATTTGCAGTTGTGGTCACATTATCCCAGGAAAGTGCTAGATTCTCTTAACATTTTAGTCATTTCTTATTTATTTTGTTGTAAACTTGTTAAAACCTTCAATATTTTCTGTACTTTAATCTTCAATTGCCTGAAGTACTTTCGTTATTGTTTTTGGAAAAGATAATGAGTGTTCTTTTTGGTGTACTAACAAATAAAACGTTCTTCACATGTTATTTTTAATTAATGCATTTGAAGTACTATACTATATGATTTTGTGTGGTTTTGCTTTAAAGTAAAGTATTTTATTGCTACATTATGTAAGCATATGTAAAAATAAACAACTTCAATGGCACATAATTTATAAATGGCATAGCACTGGAGTGAAAATAAAGAATAAAAGTGAAAATGCCAACCATATCCTGTTAAGACAAGTACTTGTTTTGGTTAGGACATTTTCTTGTGCCCTTCCTGCTCATTTGCTGCTCTTTATATACTACAATAGTATTTACTAACTAACATAGTACAATAATATTATTATAATTATTTGTAAAAAAGAAATACTGTTATGATATTGAAGTACAAAATATATGCTAATAATTGTACCATTTGAAATATGCTCTAAAACATATATTAAGAGACTTTACTTAAGTCTTTCACACGAAAAAGTAAAATTCTTCAAAATTTTAATGTATGAGTTGAATCAAAAAAAGTTTTTATATTATAAGAGGACGTTTGTGCAATTATTGATTAAGATAATAGGAGTAAGACGAGTCTTATACTTCTCATGTTACTCAAAGAAATCACAACAGATGATTTTTTATAATTTATATAACGTGGGATGCTTACATTCTCAGAAATGAGATAAACTATTTGCATTGAAATTAAATTTTACTGGAAAATGCTGTACTGTATTATCATTATGAATTTGAAAATTACTTTTACTTTTAAATTAAAAGGCAATCATTTTACTAATCTGCCTCAGTTGTGTTCATAATTTGTAGATATTTCTTGTGTTTATTTATTAGACATTCCTTTGTTTTGTTTTGTTATTTATTTATTTCTGTTGTTTTCAGTATTATTTACTATACTATATGACTGTTTTTATTTTTATGTATTTTTGATCTCAAAAGTGCAATAGATTAAAATTAGGTGGATATTCAATATTTATATTCATGTAATGTATTTTGTCTTGTGAAAAGAAATATTAAAATTGAGGAATAATACTGGAAAAATAGTGTTTTCCTTACAAAGTAGCAGTTTCTGCATAACTTAAACAGTACATTTGCAAAAAACAAAACATGGAAGCAAAACTAGTTAGTTCTGCACAATAATCTTTTGTTGAAAGTTAGACGATTCCGCATAAAGAAGACAAAAGAATAGATAAATTTCTTAGAAAGGGATTGAGATTAAAGTGAAGGATCAGAGTCTAGAGTGAATACTCATTTTTATTGCACCAAGATACAGTTCAAATTTTAAATGCAATGCTCATTGTGCACCTGTTATTGAAAACTTTGCCCAAAAAATAAATATTATTGTGTTACAATTTAAAATCATTCTGGACCAACGTTAAAAGGAAAAGAACCGAAATCCAAACATTATGTTACCAAGCATGCATTATATGTATGGTTTGTATTTAGACGTATGTTGAATCAATATCGATCGAAGTTGTTTTATGGTAATTCGACTATTTTTGCCAGAAGGGTTCGACCATTAAGGCAAGATGGAAACGTACGTATAAAACTACACTTCTTAAACAGTCAATCAGAAAGCGAAAGCAAATTATCGCATAATACACATATATATATATATATTATATATATGAAGACAAAAGAATAAAAAACAGTAGGAAAACCTGTATACATTTTTTTTGGAAAGCTGCCTCTAAGAAATGATAATTTTATAAAACATATAGACCATCGTTTATATAAAAACGATGGCATGTTGATTTGAAATCAAAGGGAAATAACTGCTGCTAAAATTACAAATGTAAATGCTTTTAAAAAAATAAATTAGAGATCGATGTGGTGTCGGCATTCGGGGAGCAGGGTAGCTAGTTCGTGGTGCATATTTGTCACTGTGTACGAGTCTGCCAAGCCAAAAAAAGCAGTTATTGCAGACGACAACCAATGCTAATTCTTGTACTCTGGAGCCTGTAGTAAGTGACGGGCTACACTACAAATTGTGGGGAATATTAGTCTTTGTGCATCAGTGTGTCAAAGAAAACCCGTTATTGCAGACGACAACCAACGACAAGTTCTGTACTCTGGAGCCTGTAGTTAGTAACATTCTACTTGCGTGTTTATTTACAACGTGAAAGTCGTAAGTGACAAATGAAAATATTGTACATTCCATTGATTGAAGACTGTTAAAACTAGCTTCGTTTGTGCTGAATTCCTTCACTTCACAAAACGATACGTTACTGGTTCACCTACATCACCCCTCAAAAACTTTCTAGCACACTTAAAAACATTTTGTTTGACTCTAAAAAGGCATAAATTTTTATGAGGCATCATTTAATCAAGAATCGAGTTTTTGGTTTTCAATACTCTTCAACTTAAAATTTGATTTAGCTTTCGATTTAAAAATAAGACGATTTTGTATGATGTTAATGATACAGCTATCCACCTGAGACCACGTGACGAAGATAATAATCAATTGTATGTCACCGTATGCCCTTTAACAATGAGCAGCATTACCTACATGGTATGATTGGCCAAAAAAGGCCCCGAAGTGACAAATGTAAAAACAATTCACGCGAAAAAATAAATATGAAAGACAGCTACCAATGACAACCAACCATTCAATGATAGGCTCCTGATTTGGGTCAGGCCCACAGAATGTCGCGGGGTTAAACATGTACGCAAGCGCGCAATCCTCCCCTTGCGAAATGTTTATAACAGGAATCTATTCATTAGTCTTGAGTAGAAGAACACGCGTCTGGCGTACCAAATTATTTGTCTGTTATCTTTTTTAGAATTTCCAATTCACCATTACTATTATTGGTGTTTATATTTTGCTCCAAATTTTTTAAAACAGAGTTCTTTGGTAGGATACAAATTCATTCCAGATTACAGACTCACTAATTTCTAAGTTTTAATGATAACGTGATTGATTTTTTTCCATGAAAAACTCGTATAGCACATTGCAATTTACAAATTCATTCCAGATTACAGACTCAATAATTTCTAAGTTTTAATGATAACGTGATTGATTTTTTTTTCCATGAAAAACTCGTTTAGCACATTGCAATTTATTTGTCCTTCCAACTATTTTGATTCGAGCGCAACTTACAAGTCTGATGTAGTCGAAACGTGCGTTTGGTGTAGCAAAGCATAAATCTAGAATATTTTATGAGTTTAATGAACCGCTGGGTCGATGCTGCTGTTGGTTGACGTTTCGTTCCCGAAGGTGGCCAATCTAATAGAAAGCACTTCTGTGTTCACATGAAATATCATTGAAATGTTCAAACTATAGGTTTTTTAGCTCACCAGTGAGCTTTTGCCATCACTTGGCGTCCGTCGTCGTCGTCTGTCCGGTGTAAACTATTTCAAACATTTTCTCCTCTGAAACTACTGAACCAATTCCAACCAAATTTAAGCTGAATGATCCTTAGGGTATCTAGATTAAAGTTTGTGTTTTGTTTTCTTTTTCTAAAAATAGAACATAGGGGTAAAATGCAGTTTTTGGTTTATATCTCAAAAACCAAAGCATTTAGAGCAAATCTGACGGGGTAAAAATGTTCATTAGGTCAAGTTCTATTAGCCCTGAAATTTTCAGATGAATCTAACAACCCATTGTTGGGTTGCTGCCACTAAATTGGTAATTTTAAGGAAATTTTGCAGTTTTTGGTTATTTATCTTGAATATTATTATAGATAAAGATAAACTGTAAACAGCAAAAATGTTCAGCAAAGAAAGATCTTCAAATAAGTTATTATCTTGAATATTATTATAGATAAAGATAAGCTGTAAACAGCAAAAATTTTCAGCAAAGTAAGATCTACAAATAAGTTTCATATGACCAAAATTGTCAATTGACCCCTTAAGGAGTTATTGTCCTTTAAAGATAATTTTCACAATTTCTTCATCTAATCTAGTTTGCTTACTTTAAAATATCTTCTCCTTTGAAACTGCTGAATCAATTTCAGCCAAACTTGGGCTGAATGAGTTTTAGAGTATCTTGTATAAATTTTGTATTTTATTTCCTTGTTCGTCAAGAAACATAGCCACTATGGCTTAAATGGAACATAGGGGTAAAATGCATTTTTTTTGCCTTTGAAGAAAATATGACAGATACAAAGAACATTTAAATGGCATTTTTAAGCCACTCACTAATATATATCGAAAAGCAAAAATAATCATTGATGAAAGATTTAAGCAAAAAATTACAGTTGAACGATTCAGGCTCTTGAGAGCCTCTTGTTTTATCTCCAAGGAATAGCACAACTTTTTGACTTTAGTTTATAATGCTCTTCAACTTTGTATTAATGTTCCCCTTCCAACTGTTTTGATTCTAGCGCCACTGATGAGTCTTATGTAAACGATGCGCGCCTCTAGCGTACCAAAGTATAAGCCTGATTTCTTTGCTGAGGTTTACTGATGAGTCTTATGTAAACGATGCGCGCCTCTAGCGTACCAAATTATAAGCATGGTTTCTTTGCCGAGGTTTACTGATGAGTCTTATGTAAACGATGCGCGCCTCTAGCGTACCAAAGTATAAGCCTGGTTTCTTTGCTGAGGTTTACTGATGAGTCTTATGTAAACGATGCGCGCCTCTAGCGTACCAAAGTAAAAGCCTAGTTTCTTTGCTGAGGTTTACTGATGAGTCTAATGTAAACGATGCGCGCCTCTAGCGTACCAAATTATAAACCTGGTTTCTTTGCTGAGGTTTACCGATGTTTTTTATGTAAACGATGCGCGTCTCTAGTGTACTAAATTATAAGCCTAGTTTCTTTGCTGAGGTTTACTGATGAGTCTAATGTAAACGATGCGCGCCTCTAGCGTACCAAATTATAAACCTGGTTTCTTTGCTGAGGTTTACTGATGATTCTTATGTAAACGATGCGCGTCTCTAGTGTACTAAATTATAAGCCTGGTTTCTTTGCTGAGGTTTACTGATGAGTGTTATGTAAACGATGCGCGCCTCTAGCGTACCAAATTATAAGCCTGATTTCTTTGCCGAGGTTTACTGATGAGTCTTATGTTAACACTGCGCCTCTAGCGTACCAAATCATAAATCTGGTTTCTTTGCTGAGGTTTACTGATGAGTCTAATATAAACGATGCGCGCCTCTAGCGTACCAAATTATAAGCCTGGTTTCCTTACTGAGGTTTACTGATGAGTCTAATATAAACGATGTGCGCCTCTAGTGTACAAAATTATAAACCTGGTTTCTTTGCTGAGGTTTACTGATGAGTCTTATGTAAACGATGCGCGCCTCTAGCGTACCAAATTATAAGCCTGGTTTCTTTGCTGAGGTTTACTGATGAGATGAGTCTAATGTAAACGATGCGCGCATCTAGCGTACCAAATTATAAACCTGGTTTCTTTGCTGAGGTTTACTGATGAGTCTAATGTAAACAATGCACGCCTCTAGCGTACCAAATTATAAGCCTGTTTTTTTTTGACTGAGGTTTACTGATGAGTCTAATGTAAACGATGCGCGCCTCTAGAGTACCAAATTATAAGCCTGTTTTCTTTGCTGAGGTTTGTAAAGAATAAATATTGATATAAGTTTTAAGAAATAATTGAAAATTTTCAAATGTAGCAAAGTATTTGACAGAATCAAAGTATAATAATCAAGGAAACTTTAAATCCATTTGTAATTTGCAGCAGATAAAACATAAAAATAGAAATACAGAATATTAATTGTTCAAATCCTTTCAAGAATCTTGATTGCAATTCCTTTAATTTTCTGTATAATGACTGTTGTAATACAAAGTCCCAACCATCGTTAACCCCTAGATATTCATTTAATATAGCACTGGTATTATTCACATTATGGATTAATAAGGCTGAGAGAATATGGTACGTTTTGGAAAATCGTTTCAATAAAAAAAGACCGAACAAAGATAAGTAAATCTTTTTGCAATTATCAGTTAAATCTATGCTTTTGTGCTTTCACCATTTTCTTACCTGCCATGTGAAAAATTAATGCGACAGAAAATTTGGGCTTCGAAAGTCAATAATAGTACTAAATTCATACAGAATACTTTCAATGTTGTAACTTTGTG